TTAAAATCGTCTGGGGAGGTCCTGCTCTCAGTCCCGTCTTCGTCACAAGTATGTCTGGCTGGGACGAGAGACAGGACCTTCTCGGTGGTGGCTTATGGAACATTCGTGCCAAGTTTGGTCCACATCCATCATTGTTTGAGTCCACAATGCTCCCTGGATGTAGGTGAACTACAAGTCCAAAACTCAAAGTCAATGCCCACCAATCCTTTCCAGTATTTTCTCTTGGTCATGGGAGTTCTGTTTACCAAGTTTGAGTCAATCCCATCGTTGCTGTAGTTCAGAATGCTCTTTGATGGTAGGTGTACTATAAATCCCAGCAACCACAACTACCAAATGACAAAATTAACCCCAGGTGACTTTAAGATCGTCTGGGGAGGCCCGGCTCTCAGTCCCGCCTTCGTCACAAGTATGTCTGGCTGGGACGAGAGACAGGACCTTCTTGGTGGTGGCCCCTCCCTAGCGATATCAGATCCGTTTCTTCCTTTTTAACATTTCGGAAAAAACTCAAGACATGGCTGTTTGAGAAAACGTTTGCAAATTTATTTATTATTATTTATTTATTTGCATTATTTCTATCCCGCTCATATCAGCCCGAAGCGACACAGAGTGGCGTACACAATCGGCACAATTCGATGCCATAAAAATACATACATTGATAAACAAAAAGAACCATTATAGTGCAATTAGACATAAGACAGTGCATAATAACAATATTAAAAACTAAAAACTATATCCTCTCATTCAAGTCCTTATCCGTTCCATCGTCTTGGGCCGTTACTGGGCCATTTTCCAATTCAAATTCGTCTATTTATTCGGAGGTTCCAAATGCTTGCTCGAAGAGCCAAGTTTTTACTCTTTTCCGAAAGGTCAGGAGCGAGGGGGCTGATCTGATGTCCCTAGGCAGGGAGTTCCACAGCCGAGGGGCCACCACAGAGAAGGCCCTGTCTCTCGTCCCCGCCAGACGTGCTTGCGAAGCTGGCGGGATCAAGAGCAGAGCCTGCTCGGACGATCTCAAATTCCTGGAAGGTTCGTAGGAAGAGATGCGTTCTTATTTTAAGAGATGTCCTTATTTGTTTCCTCTCAGTTGTTTTGCTGTTGTAATTTTAGACTTAAATCTGGCTACCAGTATTAAAAAAATCTCTAAAATTACAACAGCAAAACAACAGAGAGGAAACAATCAGGGATAGCTAATCACCTCTCAACAAAAGATTGTCCCAGGCACTGCCAGGCCATCAAATGCTAATCAAGGTGGTCAGTTGAAACATTTATTTATTTATTTCACACATTTCTACCCCGCCCTTCTCAACCCCCGAGGGGGGACTCAGGGCAGCTTACGAAAGGCACAATTCGATGCCGACATAAACATAACAATGGATAAAACATGTATACAGCAATTATAACAATTAAACAATCACTTTATACAACAAAATCAATAAAAATTAATAAAACCAGTCAGTACGTTCACACCTAGCTCCAACAGACAAGAGTTCTTTGTCCCGCCCTGGTCATTCCACAGATATATAAACCCCATTTTCCTAGTTCCAACAGACCTCACTACCTCTGAGGATGCTTGCCATAGATGCAGGCGAAACGTCAGGAGGGAATGCCTCCAGAACATGGCCATATAGCCCAAAAAACCCTAAAACAACCCAATCAGAGACAGCTAATCACCTCTCAACAAAAGATTGCCCCAGGCAATGCCAGGCCATCAAATGCTAATCAAGGTGGTCAGTTGAAACATTCACACCTAGCTCCAGCAGACAAGAGTTCTTTCTCCCACCCTGGTCATTCCACAGATATATAAACCCTTTTTCCTAGTTGCAACAGACCTCACTACCTCTGAGGATGCTTGCCATAGATGCAGGCGAAGCGTCAGGAGAGAATGCCTCTAGAACATGGCCATATAGCCCGAAAAACCCCACAACAACCAATTTTCTTAATGATTTGATAGTTTTAAATATTAATATCCCTGTGTTTAATTCTATTTCAGTGCTTATATATGTTTTTGATTTGAAATGGTACTTTTTAAATTTTATTTTTCAACATTTTTAGCTGCTTTGAGTCTCTCTTGCTTGCCATAGATACAGGTGAAACGTCAGGAGAGAATGCCTCTAGAACATGGCCATATAACCCAAAAAAAACCTAAAACAACCCAATGAGAGACAGCTAATCATCTTTCAACAAAAGATTCCCCCAGGCACTAACAAGCCACACCAAACAACCGCCAGGCCATCAAATGCTAATCAAGGTGGTCAGTTGAAACATTCACACCTAGCTCCAACAGACAAGAGTGCTTTGTCCCACCCTGGTCATTTCACAGATATATATAAACCAATTTTCCTAGTTGCAACAGACCTCACTACCTCTGAGGATGCTAGCCATAGATGCAGGCGAAACGTCAGGAGAGAATGCCTCTAGAACATGGCCATATAGCCCGAAAAAACCTACAACAACCCAATCAGGGACAGCTAATCATCTCTCAACAAAAGATTGTCCCAGGCAATGCCAGGCCATCAAATGCTAATCAAGGTGGTCAGTTGAAACATTCACACCTAGCTCCAACAGACAAGAGTTCTTTGTCCTACCCTGGTCATTCCACAGATATATAAACCCCATTTTCCTATTTCTACCAGACCACACTACTTCCGAGGATGCTTGCCATAGATGCAGGCAAAACGTCAGGAGAGAATGCCTCCAGAACATGGCCATATAGCCCGAAAAATCTTATAATCAAAATCCCAGATTCAGGAAGCCAAAAGTGTGCTGCTTAAAGCCAAGGTTAATCCATAGTAGCTTGCATGGAAAGAGCCACGTTGAACTGACACTTTCTCTTTGTCAGCCAGAAACCTAAATACCCTTTGCTAACATGAAGGCGTTGCGATGGCCTTTGGCCGACTTGGCTTCTTTCTTACTAGCTAAGCACGAACTCCTCCTGACCCTCCAATCTAAGCGTTCTTGCCTGCTCACTAATTCACTATCTTCAATGTTCTTTTTATCAGTTTGGTCCAGCTGGACCAAATCACCGTGGGAAGGCTGAACAGGCGAAGACAACTCCACCTGGCCGATATCTAGCTCACTATGGCACTAACAAGCAACACAAAACAACAGCCAGGCCATCAAATGCTAATCAAGGTGGTCAGTTGAAACATTCACACCTAGCTCCAACAGACAAGAGTTCTTTGTCCCACCCTGGTCATTCCACAGATATATAAACCCTTTTTCCTAGTTCCAACAGACCTCACTACCTCTGAGGATGCTTGCCATAGATGCAGATGAAATGTCAGGAGAGAATGCCTCTAGAACATGGCCGTATAGCCCGAAAAAAACTACAACAACCCCATGATTATTAAGGTTTTCTCTTTGAAAAGCACCTTCTTTCCCAGAGGCCTTATTAACCGCAGTCTCGGCTTCTCTGCGGAGGATTTCTCAAGCCCTCGTTCCGTCACATCGCCTGAGAAAATAGGTTGCTCATTCATCACGTTTCAAGGAACCGAAGAAAGGCCGCCGCTCTTAAGAAATCCTATTATTTCTTTTTATCAGCACAAAGCAACACAGAGCCCTGGTTATTACATTGCTTTCTCCAGGATATTCTCTTTTTTTGTGAAAATAGGATGATTTCCCGGATTGATATGTGGAGTTTTGTTAGGTTTTCAAAAGGGGGATTATTATTTTTTAACAAAAAGAACATAAAATGAATTCTGTTGAGTCTGACCCAAGGCATACAGGGAGCCCACTTCCGAGAAGCAGGCGACTCATTGCCTCCTGGATGTCGGTGAAACTAACAGACTTTTTAGCAACGTGAATAGGTTTTTTAATTGGTTTTTATGATTGAAACTGTTTATTTTTAATGGTTTCAATTATATAAATTATATATTGTATTGCTTTTATTGTTAGCTGTATTGGGACTCTTTTTAAGAAAGATAAAGCAGGCTAGAAAGAAGGAAGGAAGGAGAAAAGAGGAGAGGAAGAAGCAGAGGAGGAGAAAAAGAAAAGGAAGAAGCAGAAGAAATAAAAGAGGAGAAAAAGGAGGGGAAAGAATAAAGGAAGAAAAGGAGAAAAGAAGAGAAAAAAGGAGGAGAAAGAACAAAAAGAGGAGGGGGAGAAAGAGGAAGAAGGTGAAGGAAAAAGAAAGGAGGAGAAAGAATAAAGGAAGAAAAGGAGAAGAAGTATAGGAGAAAGAAAAGAGGAGAAAAAAGAGGGAGGCGTAGAAATAAGGGAACAAGAGAAAGGGAAGAAGAAGAAGAAGGTGTAGAACGAAAAGAGGAGAAAAAGGGGAGGAGAAAGAAGAAGAGAAGAAAAAGAAGATGAAGGAGAAGAAAATGAGAAGGAAGAAGAAGGGGAGAAAAAGAAGAGGAAAAAGGTGAAGGAGAAAGAAAGAAGAGAAAAAAGGCGGGGAAGGAAGAGGAGAAAAAAGGTGGAGAAAGAAAGAGAAGAAAAAAGGAGGAGGAAAAAAGAAGAAGGTTAAGGAGAAAGAAAAGAGGAGAAAGGAGGAGAAAGCAGAATAAAAGAAGAGAAGGAGGAGAAAAAGAAGAAGGTGAAGAAGAGGGAAAAAAGAAGAAGGGATGAGGAGGAGGAGAAAAAGAAGAGGAAGAAGTTGAAGGAGAAAGGAAAGAAGGGGAAAAAGGGGGAGGAGAAAGAAGAGGAGGAGAAGGGCTTCCTATCTGATATATGGATTATATCAATTGACGTAATTGTTTATCGGTTTTTGCAAAGCAAGGACATGTAAATGATGGCTAAGTCTGCCAGTGAATAAGAAAAGAAAGAGATAGAGGAAAAAGAAGGAAGAGAAGGAGAAAAAGAAGAGGAAGAAGGTGGCTATATAGCCCGAAAAAAACTTACAGCAACCTAGTATTAAAAAACTCTAAAATTACAACAGCAGAACAACAGAGAGGAAACAGTCAGGGACATCTAATCACCTCTCAACAAGAGATTGCCCCAGGCACTAACAAGCCACACCAAACAACTGCCAGGACATCAAATGCTAATCAAAGTGATCAGTAGAAACATTCACACCTAGCTCCAGCAGACAAGAGTTCTTTGTCCCACCCTGATCATTCCACAGATATATAAAACCTTTTTTCTAGTTCCAATAGACCTCACTACCTCTGAGGATGCTTGCCATAGATGCAGGCGAAACGTCAGGGGAGAATGCCTCTAGAACATGGCCATATGGCCGGAAAAAACCTACAACAACCCAGTGATTCCGGCCATGAAAGCCTTCGACAATACATTGTAATAGCATCCTTTGTTCACATCTTCCAGCAACTTAAGATCATAGAATCATAGAATCCTAGAGATGGAAGAGACCTCCTGGGCCATCCAGTCCAACCCCATTCTGCCAAGAAGCAGGAATGTTGCATTCAAATCACCCCTGACAGATGGCCATCCAGCCTCTGTTTAAAAGCTTCCAAAGAAGGAGCCTCCACCACACTCCGGGGCAGAGAGTTCCACTGCTGAACGGCTCTCACAGTCAGGAAGTTCTTCCTCATGTTCAGAGGAATCTCCTCTCTTGTAGTTTGAAGCCAATTGTTCCGCGTCCTAGTCTCCAGGAAGCAGAAAACAAGCTTGCTCCCTCCTCCCTGTGGCTTCCTCTCACATATTTATACATGGCTATCATATCTCCTCTCAGCCTTCTCTTCTTCAGGCTAAACATGCCCAGCTCCTTAAGCCGCTCCTCATAGGGCTTGTTCTCCAGACCCTTGATCATTTTAGTCACCCTCCGCTGGACACATTCCAGCTTGTCAATATCTCTCTTGAATTGTGGCGCCCAGAATTGGACACAATATTCCAGGTGTGGTCTAACCAAAGCAGAATAGAGGGGTAGCATTACTTCCTTAGATCTAGACACTATGCTCCTATTGATGCAGGCCAAAATCCCATTGGATTTTTTTGCCGCCACATCACATTGTTGGCTCATGTTTAACTAGTTGTCCACAAGGACTCCAAGATCTTTTTCACACGTACTGCTCTCCAGCCAGGCGTCCCCCAGTTTGTATCTTTGCATTTCGTTTTTCCTGCCAAAGTGGAGTATCTTGCATTTGTCACTGTTGAACTTCATTTTGTTAGATAGAAGCATCCTGCCTCTGATACTGGAGCTGTCACGACTACTCGCCATTGCTTGAGTCTGGCCCTCTTTTGACATCAAGTTGGTGGCAATCATTCTGTTTTGTCATTTAACTGTGCCATATTGGAATAAGTAGTCCACTTAACTGCCCTGAATTTGCCACTGTGTGCTTCCTGTGAAGCTATAATAACAAAATACTTGCCAATTGAAACTCTCGTAAGAGAACTACAGGATTTTGGACCAATTCTGTATTCCAAGGAGAGCTGTACCTATGAGATCACACACTTGTAGGCCGGGAAAGGGCTTCTTTGTTCAATAATTGTTGCCCTCAATGCAGAATACAAACACAACCTATTATAAACGTTTTGTTCACAGCTTCCTTTTTTCATCTAGCACCAGTTAATTGGGTTTTATTTCCCCTTCACAGCGTTCCGACGGCATCAGGCCAGCTTTGAACAGCCCCTTAGAAAGGCACAGCACTGACCAGGAGGATACGGAGGAACTCACTCAGGTAATTTGGCAAAAGGAAGCAGGAGTGTTTTCTGCCAGGGAGGTCTTAAAATAGTAGAAACACCACCAGAGCCATTTGCACATGGACTTCTTCTATATAAATAAAAATATAATGTTCGTTTGTGGGATTAGCATAACTCAAAAACCACTGGACAAATTGACACCAAATTTGGACATAAGACACCTATCAGGCCAACGAGTCACCATCACTCATAAAAACACTGACAAATACAGCGGAAAAGACTTTAAAAGCCAAAAAATTAAAAAAAAATACATTACAACGCACAAAATCACATATGCACAAATATATCCACTAGGGCTGGGTAACCACGGAAAAATTTGTTTCTAAACTCGATTTGTTTTTAGGGGGTTTTTGCGTTTTGTTTTTTAAAAGAATTCCGAAATTTTCCTTTAAAAAAGTTCGAAATATACGAAATGTTGTAAAATTACGAAACAATTACGGAACGATTTCGGAACAATTACGAATCGATTCGTTAATGGCGGGCGCGATTGCGCAATATGCTAAAAAAACCCCTCCAAATGGGACAGGGGGAACTTCTGAAGCTTCCCTCTCCCTCTGTTGTTGACTGTTGGTGTGATAATTTATTTTTTATCACTGATAAAACAAACAACAACCCTAAAACTTGCACCAGACATACGGAAATAATTACGAAACAATAACGAAACGATTTAGAACCAATTACGAATCGATTACGAAACAATTACGAAATAAATTGAAAAAATTCGTTTCGATTTTTAATTACTCCTGCATGGCTCAATATCGGATCGTAAGCTAATTTAAATACGAATTAATAACGAATTACGAAATTAACGAACAAAACCGCCCAACCCTAATATCCACACACACAAAACACATATACACAGACCGGGCCACAGCAACACGTGGCAGGGGACAGCTAGTATATAAAAAGAATAACAACAACAACATGGAACAACGTTTGAAACATTTTCTGCTCCTTGTTTGAATATTATATATATATATATATATATATATATATATATACTGTTTGACTTGTGATTTTGTGATACGAAATCCAGCATATAGATCTCGTTTGCTGTGACATACTGCGGTTTTCTGTCAAAATAATAACAATAATAATAATATGTCCTAGACACTTGGGAATTGTCCGACGTGTGGTCCAATTCAACAGCCAACAGAGTGTCTGCTGTGGACTCAACTTGTTGTGTTTCTAATAATAGTAGTAGTAGTAGTAGTAATAAAGACTCTGGCACAAGCCAGTCCAAATGGTCCCAGTGATGATTGACACACTGGGTGCAGTGCCTAAAGACCTTGGCCTGCACTTAAAAACAATCTGCGCTGACAAAATTACCATCTGCCAGCTGCAGAAGGCCATCTTACTGGGATGTGCACGCATTATTCACCAATGCATCACACAGTCCTAGATACTTGGGAAGGGTCCAACATGTGATCCAATTCACCTCACACAGTCCTAGATACTTAGGAGGTGTCTGACGTGTGATCCAATTCAACAGCCAACAGAGTGTCTGCTGTGGACTCAACTTGTTGTGTTTCAAATAATAGTAGTAGTAGTAGTAGTAGTAGTAGTAGTAGTAGTAGTAGTAGTAATAAGGACTCTGGCACAAGCCAGTCCAAATGGTCCCAGTGATGATCAACACACTGGGTGGAGTGCCTAAAGACCTTGGCCTGCACTTAAAAACAATCTGCGCTGTCAAAATTACCATCTGCCAGCTGCAGAAGGCCATCTTACTGGGATCTGCACGCATTATTCACCGATGCATCACACAGTCCTAGATACTTGGGAAGGGTCCAACATGTGATCCAATTCACCTCACACAGTCCTAGACACTTGGGAAGTGTCTGACGTGTGATCCAATTCAACAGCCAGCAGAGTGAGTGCTGTGGACTCATCTTGTTGTATTTCTAATAATAATAATAATAATAATAATAATAATAATAATAATAATAATAATAATAATAATAATATAGACTCTGGCACAAGCCAGTCCAAATGGTCCCAGTGATGATCGACACACTGGGTGGAGTGCCTAAAGACCTTGGCCTTCACTTAAAAACAATCTGCGCTGACAAAATTACCATCTGCCAGCTGCAAATGACCACCTTACTGGGATCTGCACGCATTATTCACCGATACATCACACAGTCCTAGACACTTGGGAAGGGTCCGACGTGTGATCCAATTCAACAGCCTGCAGAGTGTCTGCTGTAGACTCATCTTGTTATGTTGCAAATAATAATAATAATAATAATAATAATAATAATAAAGACTCTGGCACAAGCCAGTCAAAATGGTCCCAGTGTTGATCGACACACTGGGTGCAGTGCCTAAAGACCTTGGCCTGCACTTAAAAACAATCTGCGCTGACAAAATTACCGTCTGTCAGCTGCAAAAGGCCACCCTACTCATATTGCTAACATATTCATATGTTTCTATGTAATTATGATGTTATGGTTTGTGTTTTGGTTTTATTTGCTGTAATCTGTTGTTTGGGCTTAATAATAATATAATAACAAAACTTTATTTATACCCCGCCTCCATCTCCCCCAAGGGGACTCGGGGCGGCTTACATGGGGCCATGCCCATCAATACAGTAAACAAAATATAACACAAAAACGCAACAGAAAATCAGTAAGCCACCCTGAGTCCCCATTGGGGGAGATGGTGGCAGGGTATGTATGTATGTATGTATGTATGTATGTATGTATGTATGTATGTAAAAATAAAATAAAATAAAATAAAATTTATTATTATTATTATTATTATTATTAGTATTATTATTGGGACATGAGAGAAGCCTCCCACAAGGATGATCAAACATGGGCAACGTCCTTGCAGACGGCCAATTCTCTCACACCAGAAGCGACTTGCAGTTTCTCAAGTTGCTCCTGACACGACAAAAAAATAAATAAAAATTATTATTATTTATTACTCTGATCTGCACGCATTATTCAATGCATCACACATGTATTGGATCCCACATCCAGTGGGAAATGTCCGATGTGGGATCGAATACCAAAACCAGCATAGTGATCTTGTTTGCTGTGTACTAATCTTGTTATGCATCTAACAACAACAACAACAACAATACATTTATTACTCAATCTCCTTATGGCTCTAGGTGGGGTACAAAAATCATTAAAAGAGATAAAACACTATTTAAATACAAGATATTTTAATAGTTTGTATTTTGTTTGTATTTGTATTTTGTTGTTGTCGGCGGCTTTGGCCTTTGTAAGCCGCATCGAGTCCTTCGGGAGATTTTGCGGGGTATAAATAAAGTTAATAATAATAATAATAATAATAATAATAATAATAATAATAATAGTTAAATGGAGGTTAAAATTCACTGATAAATGCAGAAACAATTCGCAAGCTACAGTCGAATAGCTAGAAATGGGTCTTCGGTTCCATCTTAAATTCCGACACCTGATTGAGTTGGAATTCTTGACCCATTTTTTCTTCTTTTTTTTTTTTGTGCAGATACTCAATTAAATTGATGGAAACCAATGCTAATTCTTTGTCTCCCGCCTCCCGTTTCTTTCCTTCTGCACGATAGCCCGAGAGAGTCCCACTGGAGCTCAATTCACGGCTGGAAGAAGTGGTAGAATTCAACGAGATGGAAGCCGAGTCCCTCGAGACAGAAGACTTTGAAGTGCGAGGGAGCCGATTCTCCAAGTCGGCCGACGAAAGGCAGCGGATGTTAGTCCAGAGGAAGGAAGATCTGCTGCAACAAGCCCGCAGGTGTGTGTGTGTGTGTGTGTTCATGCTTCAGGTGTTTCCCATCCATTGTGTTCCAGTAATTGTCATCTCCAGGGCCATTATCGTTCTCTCAGACCCACAGTAAACAACAGTCACTGCTTCACAAAGCACAATGATTGGTGTATTGCCGAAGGCTTTCATGGCCGGAATCACTGGGTTGTTGTAGGTTTTTCAGTCTGTATTCTATAGCAGGGGTCCTCAAACTTTTTAAACTGGGGGCAAGTTCACTGTCCCTCAGACCGTTGGAGGGCCGGACTATAGTTTTTTTTTTAAAAAAAATCAATTAAAAAATTCCTATGCACATTGCACATGTTATTTTGCGGTGTGGAAGGGCCCTTAGAGGGGTTCTTTCTAGCCCTCTTTAGGCAGTAATTCCAGGAGCAGAGAATGGGAAATCTTTCTATTTCTAGTCTGAACAAAATCTGGCTACCAGTATTAAAAACACACTAAAATTATAACTGTAAATAAAGAACAATACTCAAACACAGGGGAACTCCAGACAAGAAACAATCAGGGCCAGCTAATTGCCTCTCCCTAAAAACTGTCAGACTATGAAATGGTAATCAAGGTGGCCAATTGAAACATTCATACCTACCTCCAACAGACAAGAGTTCTTTCTCCCACCCTGGATCTTCCACAATTTTCCTAGTTAAAGGTTTTCCTCTGACATGAAGTCCAGTCGTGTCTGACTCTGGGGTGTGGTGCTCATCTGCATTTCTAAGTCGAAGAACCAGCGTTGTCCATAGACACCTACAAGGTCATGTGGCCGGCATGACTGCATGGAGCGCCGGGGCAGCCTCCATTGGCTGGCTCACGCTGCCCATCGGGCCCAATGGACAGCGTGAGCCAGCCAAGGGAGGGACACTGTGTGTGTGTGTGGGGGGGTGTGTGCTCCTCCTCTGCGGGCCGGATAAGTGCCCTTGGTGGGCCGGAAGTGGCCCGCGGGCCATAGTTTGAGAACCCCTGTTCTAGAAGCATTCTCTCTGAGCATATGTAGCAAGCATGCTCAGAGGTTGTGAGGACTGTTGGAAACTAGGAAAATTGACATTAGAGCAGCTCCCTCCCTAGATTGGGTGCTCACCAATGCTTCTTCTTCATCTTGGAAAGAAGTGACGAGCGGAGTGCCGCAGGGTTCGGTCCTGGGCCCGGTCCTGTTCAACATCTTTATTAATGACTTAGATGAAGGGCTAGAAGGCAGGATCATCAAGTTTGCAGACGACACCAAATTGGGAGGGATAGCCAATACTCCAGAGGACAGGAGCAGGATTCAAAACGATCTTGACAGATTAGAGAGATGATTGGCCAAAACTAACAAAACGAAGTTCAACAGTGACAAATGCAAGATACTCCACTTTGGCAGAAAAAACGAAATGCAAAGATACAGAATGGGGGACAATGCCTGGCTCGAGAGCAGTACGTGTGGAAAAGATCTTGGAGTCCTCATGGACAACAAGATAAACATGAGCCAACAATGTGATGTGGCGGCAAAAAAAGCCAATGGGATTTTGGCCTGCATCAATAGGAGCATAGTGTCTAGATCTAGGGAAGTCATGCTACCCCTCTATTCCGCTTTGGTTAGACCACACCTGGAATATTGTGTCCAATTCTGGGCACCACCATTCAAGAGAGATATTGACAAGCTGGAATGTGTCCAGAGGAGGGCGACTAAAATGATCAAGGGTCTGGAGAACAAGCCCTATGAGGAGCGGCTTAAGGAGCTGGGCATGTTTAGCCTGAAGAAGAGAAGGCTGAGAGGAGATATGATAGCCATGTATAAATATGTGAGAGGAAGCCACAGGGAGGAGGGAGCAAGCTTGTTTTCTGCTTCCCTGGAGACTAGGACGCAATGGAACAATGGCTTCAAACTACAAGAGAGGAGATTCCATCTGAACATGAGGAAGAACTTCCTGACTGTGAGAGCCATTCAGCAGTGGAACTCTGCCCCAGAGTGTGGTGGAGGCTCCTTCTTTGGAAGCTTTTAAACAGAGGCTGGATGGCCATCTGTCAGGGGTGATTTGAATGCAATATTCCTGCTTCTTGGCAGAATGGGGTTGGACTGGATGGCCCAGGAGGTCTCTTCCAACTCTTTTGATTCTATAATTCTATGATTCTATGATCCTGGCCTTCAGAAGGAAAGTGAAAATCTGGCTCTGGGGTCAAGCCTTGGAGATTCATGTATAGCCTTGAAATATGTGCAGTTGATCTTGGAATGGCACTGGATTATGATTGAGGATGTTGTGATTTTAATAGTGAATGCAATATTTTCTCAGTTGGAGAAAGCCCTGAGTGGGAGAAAGGAGCCCCCGCTGGCACAGTGGGTTAAATCCTTGTGCTGGCAGGACTGATGACTTGAAGGTTGGGTTGGTGACCTGAAGGTTACCAGTTCGAATTCAACTCGGGGAGAGCGCAGATGAGCTCTCTCTATCAGCTCCAGTTCCATGCAGGGACATAGAATCCTAGAGTTGGAAGAGACCTCATTGGCCATCCAGTCCAACCCCATTCTGCCAAGAAGCAGGAATATTGCATTCAAATCACCCCTGACAGATGGCCATCCAGCCTCTGTTAAAAAGCTTCCAAAGAAGGAGCCTCCATCACACTCCGGGGCAGAGAGTTCCACTGCTGAACGGCTCTCACAGTCGGGAAGTTCTTCCTAATGTTCAGATGGAATCTCCTCTCTTGTAGCTTGAAGCCATTGTTCCTTGTCCTAGTCTGCAAGGAAGCAGAAAACAAGCTTGCTCCCTCCTCCCTGTGGCTTCCTCTCACATATTTATACATGAGAGAAGCCTCCCACAAGGATGGTAAAAACATTTTAAAAAAACATCCGGGCAATGTGTCATGGGTAATGTCCTTGCAGACAGCCAATTGGCCAATTCTCTCACACCAGAAGTGACTTGCAGTTTCTCAAGTTGCTCCTGATACACACACAATGTTTTATATATTTTAATGTGCATTTAATTTTTAACTGAAGTGTATTCTAACTGTTTGTTGTCCAAAGGCATAAAATAGCTGCCATTTGTAAAGCCGCCTTGAGTCCTTTGGTGTACGGAAAGGCGGGATATAAATAGAATATATGGCTCGGGCCCAGCGTACCTGTCTGAATGTATCTCCTTCTATGTCCCACCTCGGAGTCTAAGATGTTCTGGGGAGGCCCTGCTCTCGGCCCCGCTGCTATCACAAGTGAGGCTGGTGGGGACGAGGGACAGGGCCTTCTCAGTGGTGGCCCCTCGCCTGTGGAACTCACTCCCCGGGGAAATTAGGTCATCAACATCCCTCCTCTCCTTCAGAAGGAAGCTGAAAACATGGATATGGGACCAGGTCTTTGGGTAATCTGGCAGACTGACAAGGTAATGACGACCAGAATTTGGAAAGGACTATGGTAATGCTGAATGGACTTACGGATTTTAGAACGTTGAACGTTGAACGTTGGCCACTAGACTGGCTTTTTAGTTGTTATTGTATTAATTGAATGTTTTAACTATTGTGGTTATTGTTGTTATGTATTTTATCTTTTGAATTGTTGGCATCGAATTGTGCCGGTTGTAAGCCGCCCTGAGTCCCCCCTCGGGGGTTGAGAAGGGCGGGGTAGAAGTGCCCGAAATAAATAAAATAAAAATATACAGTAGAGTCTCACTTATCCGTCATAAACGGGCCAGCAGAATGTCGGATAAACAAAAATGACGTATGATGCGGAGTCTTCTACTGTTATCCATCCGACGCAGCGCTAGACACCTAGAATACTAACAACAGGGACTGAAAGTGTTAAGACAAGACAACGCCTTTTGGCTAGAGCGGCCTTGCAGGAAGTGCCTGGATGTGGAAGAGGAGCGTGGAAATCACAGAAGGAAGGGGGGAGGATTTATTTATTTATTTACTTTATGTATATACCGCTTTTCTCAGCCCTCAGGCGACTCAAAGCGGTGAACAACATCAATACAAAACATCACGAGACAAGTATAGGGCAATTAAAAACAATTGTAACATAAATCATTAAACATCCGTATAATAATCATTAGTGCCTCAACAGTAAAAATCAGAATCCATTCTCATCATCCATTATTCCGTATTCCTATGTTCAATTACACTGTTTAATCAAATGCTTGTTCGAACAGCCAGGTCTTCACTTTCCTCCGAAACGCCAGCAGGGAGGGGGCCGATCTGATATCTGCAGGCAGGGCGTTCCACAGCCGAGGGGCCACCACTGAGAAGGCCCTGTCTCTCGTCCCCGCCAAGCGCACCTGTGATGCAGGCGGGACAGAGAGCAGGGCCTCCCCAGATGATCTTAGTGTCCTAGCCGGTTCATAGGAGGAGATGCGTTCGGAGAGGTAAGTAGGGCCAGAACCGTTTAGGGCTTTATAGGCTAACGCCAGCACTTTGAACTGTGCCCGGTAGCAAACTGGCAGCCAGTGGAGCTGGCGCAACAGAGGAGTAGTATGCTCCCTGAGTGCCGCTCCTGTTAGCAGCCTGGCTGCCGAACGTTGGACCATTTGAAGCTTCTGAGCAGTCTTCAACGGCAACCCCACGTAGAGAGCGTTGCAGTAGTCTATACAGGATGTAACCAGAGCGTGGACTACCGTGGCCAAGTCAGACTTCCCAAGATATTTTGTAAGCCACTTTGGGTCTCGTGGGAGAAATGTGGGATATAAAGAGTTGTTGTCGTTGTTGTTATTTTTATTTGACTGACAACTTTATCATTATCATCAGTAGTATGCCTCCTGAGTGCCGCTCCTGTTAGCAACCTGGATGCTTCCGATCCTGCCTCTTTTCCCCCTTCCCTCCCTCCCCCTCCTCTTTGTCTTGCCTTTTTCACTTATTGGAAATGGAGAGAGAATTGGGGAGCACTCCTTTAATTGAAGGGGAAATACAGGAGGGAAAAGGAGGTGTCGGATAAGAGCACTGGATAAGACGAAATGTCAGATAAGCGAAGGTCGGATAAGCAAGACTCTACTATATACATATTTTTTCCTCAATATGGGGACGCGTGAAGGGCGGCTGCCTCCTGGTGTGGGAGCCTTCTCGGTGGGGAGTCTTCAGCGCCTGCTAGGGAAGACTGGCACCGTGGCGTCGGTGGGGGAGGGGAGAGAAGCATCCCACCTCCCCGCCCCGCCCCAAGACCGACCTCAATTCCAAAGGTCTGGTCGAATTTTCGGCGGCCTCCAAACCTGCCCACTGGGAGGTGTGTCTATGCCCAATTGGTATACATTATATGTATATACACACAAAAAATATACACAGAAAGGAGGGAAGGAGAGAAGGAAGGAAAGGAAGAAGGGTAGAGAAGGAAGGAGGAAGAGAAGGAGGGAGAGAAGGAGGGAGAGAAAGAGGGAATGATAGAAGGAAAGAAAGAAAAAGGTAGAGAAGGAGGGAAAGAAGGGGAGAAGGAGATAAAGAAGGAAAGAAAAAAGGGTAGAGAAGGAAGGAAGGAGGGAGAGAAAGAGGGAAAGTAGGAGGGAAGGAGAGAAGGAAAGAAAGAAAGGAAGAGAAGGAGGGAGAGAAAGAGGGAAAGTAGGAGGGAAGGAGAGAAGAAGAAAGAAAGGTAGAGAAGGAATGAAGGAAGAGAGAAAAGGAGGAGAGAGGAGGAGAGAAGGAGGAGAGAAAGAGAGAGGAAAGAGAAGGAAGAGAGAAGAAGGAGAAGGAAGAGAAGGAGGAGAAGTAGGAGAAAGAGGAGAAGGGGAAGGAGGAGAAGGAGGAGAAGTAAAAGGAGAGGGAGGAGGAGGAGAGGAGAAGTAGAAGGAAAGGAGGGAAGGAGAGAAAGAAGGAAAGAAAGAACGGTAGAGAAGGAAGGAAGGAGAGAAGGAGGGAGAGAATGAAATAAAGTGAAAGAGGGAAGGAAGGAGAGAAGGAATGAAAGAGAGAAAGAGGGAGGGAAGGAAGGAAAGAAACAAGGAAGGATGGAACCAAAAAGCAAAGGAAGCGAGAAAAGAAACAGGTAGAGAAGGAAGAAAGAAGAAGGGAAAGAAAAAGAGGGAGGGAGGGAAGAAAGAAAGAAGGAGAGAAAGAGGGAAGGTTGGCCACAGCAACGCGTGGCGGGTACAGCTAGTCTAAGTGCGTCTGGGACATGATGCTGGGATTCTGGGAATGATACAGGAGGGAAAAGGAGGTGTCAGATAAGAGCATTGGATAAGACGGAATGTCAGATAAGCGAAGGCCGGATAAGCGAGACTCTACTATACAAATATTTTTTCCTCAATATATACAAGTTATCCACCAGAATCTTTCCCCTACACTTCCTAATTTTTCATCACTGCAAACTTGAGAAGCATGCCCTTAAAACCTTTGTCCTTTGAAAATCGAGGTGCACATTAGATTCGATGGTGAGTCAGTACGGGTATTAATATTCTTTTTAGTCAACACACCCTGCTGTTTCCGCTTCTCCTTCCAGGCGTTATCTCAACAAAACCGACGATGACGACGATGTCAGCTTGGCCTCCGACTTCTCCCCGCAGACTGATGGAGGAGCGTCCGACCCAGTCACTTTGCGCCGCCGGATGTTGGCTGCGGCGGCCGAGCGGCGTCTTCAGAGGCAGCACCCGTCGTAACGCTCCCGGCCTCCTCCTGTTCCGACCATTGACCCCATTCATTTTGGCTCCTTCTCCCAGTGAGGAGAGGCATCGTCCCTTCCGAGCGGGGCCCTCTGTGCCGAGGACAAGGGAGCTGGCTGCTTCTTCTTCACTGTATAAAAAAAGCATGTGATACCTAATAAGTGTTTGGACAGCTGACAAATTAACCTTTTTTCTGGGTATTATTCTTTCCCACACTTAGAGAGAGAGACACACACACACTTCCCCTGCGGCAAACGAAAATATTGAGAGACCCTGAGGTCTTATTCTGCTTAAATGTGAATTGTAGGGGACTGTGGTTGACGATCGCTGTCTTCCTTGGCTGCTTTTCAGCCAGTATATCCCACTTTAAGCTCTTCCAAAAAGAAAGAACGAGGAAGGAAGGAAACCTCATTGCGGAGCTGTTGTGCATCTTCCGGATAGATCCTTTTAAGGTTTTTGCAGGGTGTTTTAAGATAAGATTGGGTTTTCCCGAGTATTGGGAGAGCCGGTATAACTTTCACAAAGAAATAAGCAAGAGCGAGTAAAAGTTTTGTTTGCAAAGTGAGCCAACCTCATTGCAAAGCTGTCACCAATCTTCCAGAATTTTTTTTAATTTTTTAAGGTTTTTTGCAGGAAATTGGGTTTTTTTAGTATTAGGAGACTCTGGAAGTAAAAACAGCAGCAGCAGGAGTGAAAAGAAAAGGTTAATGCAACATTCGCGAATTAGAAGTTTTTGGCCGTTTCGGCCACGGACGTCTCGCACGTTCTGTCTTCCTGCAAATTTTGTTGCTGAGAGCAGACAAATAGGAATAAAGGGCGTGAGCCCAGCGACGTTAGGCTTCTTAATCCAGCATTTGAAGTGACGGAAAATAAAAAACAGTGTTTAGGTTTAGCCTCGAGACTCCATCTTGTAGAGAAAGGCTCCAAGGAAGAATGAGAACAGGCTCCTTAATAGGAAAGCGAGGGAGGAAGGAGCATGCAGAAGTCTATTTTTCTAATCTTCCATTTTGCAATAATAATCCATTCTCCCCTTTTGGGGGCGAATCCGGCGGAGAGGTCCGAGAGCATCGGCGGCTATTAGACATTAGTCTAGGTGTGATCACGCTTTTTGTGTGGAGTAGACGTGTTGCAAGACCTTTTTGGGTCTTAGGATGTGTCGATGAGTTTTATGATGGTGGTCAATGCATTTTTAAGTGTTTTCGGCGAGTATCATTGTCCTTCAAAAGATGCCCAGTGTTGAAAAAGAAAAAGAAACGGGAAATCTTTGTAGGATTTTGAAGGTGAGTATAAGAAAACTATAAATTGTGTGTTTAAGTGACGATAACTCATTTCGAGAGATCCCTTTTCAGGAAGCCTTACTATACCTTGCGATGCTGGTAGTTAAATTTGAAGAAGAGGAGAAAAAGAAGACTGTCTTCTTTTGCGATTCGGTTTTGCTCAGAGCACAGCTCTCTGTTTATATTGTTTAAAAAAAATAATAAAAATTCTTGATCAGTGTTGGACACATTTCAAAACTTCCTTCCTGCAAACGGAACACAGCGTCCTTTCAGCGAAACGGAACACAGCGTCCTTTCAGTTCGCAGATTAAAGCCATTGGAAACAATGGAAATTATTTAAACAGGCTCAATGAAAAAAAACATGAAACAAGTTGCCAAGCTTGAAACAGATTAAGGGTGAATATCTCTACATCAGTGATTCCCAACCTGTGATCCGTGGACCATCAGTGGTCCAGAAAAACTAAAATATGGTCCACAGTCTTACCATTACGACATAGTTGCAACGATAGTGACTGCTCTCGCAAAATTATTATTATTATTATTATTATTATTAAACTTTATTTCTACCCCGCTAGCATCTCCCGAAGGACTCGATGCGGCTTACAAAGGCCAAGGCCTCAAACAACAACAACAGACAATAACAATACAATGCAAGCAAATTAAAAACATAAGCAATAACAACAACAAAACATTACACTATTACACAATAAAACCAGGGCCGGGCCAATGAAGGGTACAGGTTAAAAAAGTGCTGGGTGTAAGAGGTGATTATTGGAGTTCTGGGCAAGTGCAATGTGCAGAGAGTCTTAAACTCTAATAAAGTGCTTCTGGGACAGAGTGCTGGAGGTTATCCTATTCCGGAAAGGCACATCGGAATAGCCAGGTCTTCAAGTTCTTCCTAAAGACTGCCAACGTGGGTGCTAGTCTAATGTCTTTGGGGAGGGTGTTCCAAAGTCGGTGGGCAACCACAGAGAAGGCCCTGTCCCTCGTCCCCACCAAACGAGCCTGTGACGCAGGTGGAATCGCGAGCAGGGCCTCTCCGGATGAACGGGTTCATATACGGAGATGCGGTCACGCAGGTAGGCAGGTCCCAAACCGTTTAGGGCTTTGTAGGTAAGCACCTGCACCTTGAATTGGGCTCGGTAAGCAGGGGCGGCTCGTCCATTACGCAAAGTAAGCGGTCGCAGAACACTTTTTTTTGCCAGGGGCGCCAAGGCACCTCTGTAAATGCCCCTCGACCGCCACTTGAGGAGGAGCGCCCCCTCAGCTCACAACAGCCCTAGTAGTCCAGGGGGAGCCTCGGCTTTCTTGCCTCGCTGCCGGGCGATCCTCTTCCCGAAGGGGCCGGGCCCTTGAGCCTTGCCTAGCCCTTGACATATGTGGGTTGTAGTTACTGGGATGTATAGTTCACCTACAAACAAAGAGCATTCTGAACTCCACCAATGATGGAATTGAACCAAATATGGCACACAGAACTCCCACTCCCACGACAAAGAGAAAATATATAGCAATGATTGGTTGGGGGGGGGGGGCAAAATACTGTTTGCTTACCATTGAAAATTACCTAGGGCCGCCTCTGTGTGTAGGTAAACGGCAGCCAATGGAGCTCGTTAAACAGGAGGGTTGATCTCTCTCTGTAAGGGGCGCCAGTTAACATCCTGACCACCGCCTGTTGAACCAGTTGGAATTTCCGAGCCGTTTTCAAGGGCAGCCCCATGTAGAGCGCATTACAGTAATCCAACCTAGAGGTGACTAAGGCATTGACCACCCTAGCCAGATCAACCTTTGCGAGGAATGGTCGCAGATGGTGCATGAGTCAATTGTGCAAAAGCCCTCCCGGACACCGCCGACGCCTGAGCCTCAAGCGTAAGTGATGAATCCAAAAGGACTCCCAGACTGCAGACCTGTGACGTCAAAGGCCAGGGGTCCGAGCAGGCGTCTCCCACCTTCACCATCGCAAAACCCTCTTATGAGTTGTAGGTTTTCTGGGCTGTATGACCATGTTCTACAGCAGTGGCTCTCAACGTTCCTAATGCCGCGACCCCTTAATACAGTTCCTCATGTTGTGGTGACCCCCAGCCATTAAATTATTTTCATTGCTACTTCATAATTGTAATTTTGCTACTGTTATGAATTGTTATGTAAATATCTGATATGCAGGATGTATTCTCATTCACTGGACCAAATTTGGCACAAATACCCAATATGCCCAAATTTGAATACTGGTGGTTGGGATGGGAGGATTGATTTTGTCATTTGGGAGTTGTAGTTGCTGGGATTTATAGTTCACCTACAATCAAAGAGCATTCTGAACTCCACCAATGATGGAATTGAACGAAACTTGGCACACAGAACTCCTATGACCAACAGAAAATACTGGAAGGGCTTGATGGACATTGACCTTGAGTCTGGGAGTTGTAGTTCACCTACATCCAGAGAGCACTGTGCGCTTCCGCTGTTAGCCCCTGCTTTTGAACCTAGCAGTTCAAAAACGTGCAAATGTGACTAGATCAATAGGTATCCCTTCTGTGGGAATGTAACGGCGCTCCTGAGCTGCTGAGCTTGCTGGCCAAAAAGCTGGCGGTTCAATTCCAGGGAGCAAGGTGAGCTCCCGCTGTTAGCCCCAGCTTCTGCCAACCTAGCAGTTAGAAAGCCTGCAAATGTGACTAGATCAATAGGTACCTCTTCTGTGGGAATGTAACGGCGCTCCTGAGCTGCTGAGCTTGCTAGCCAAAAGGTTGGCGGTTCGATTCCAGGGAGCAAGGTGAGCTCCCGCTGTTAGCCCCAGCTTCTGCCAACCTAGCAGTTAGAAAACATGCAAATGTGACTAGATCAATAGGTACCTCTTCTGTGGGAATGTAACGGCGCTCCTGAGCTGCTGAGCTTGCTAGCCAAAAGGTTGGCGGTTCGATTCCAGGGAGCAAGGTGAGCTCCCGCTGTTAGCCCCAGCTTCTGCCAACCTAGCAGTTAGAAAGCCTGCAAATGTGACTAGATCAATAGGTACCTCTTCTGTGGGAATGTAACGGCGCTCCTGAGCTGCTGTGCTTGTTGGCCAAAAGATTGGCGGTTATATTCCAGGGAGCTGGATGAGCTCCCACTGTTAGCCCCTGCTTCTGCCAACCTAGCAGTTCGAAACCATGCAAATGTGACTAGATCATTCCCACATTCTGTGGGTATGTAATGGCGCTCCTGAGCTGCTGAGCTTGCTGGCCAAAAGGTTGGCGGTTCTATTCCAGGGAGCAAGGTGAGCTCCCGCTGTTAGCCCCAGCTTCTGCCAATCTAGCAGTTCGAAAACATGCAAATGTGACTAGATCAATAGGTATCCCTTCTGTGGGAATGTAACGGCGCTCCTGAGCTGCTGAGCTTGCTGGCCAAAAGGTTGGCGGTTCGATTCCAGGGAGCAAGGTGAGCTCCCACTGTTAGCCCCAGCTTCTGCCAACCTTGCAGTTCGAAAACATGCAAATGTGACTAGATCAACAGGTACCCCTTCTGTGGGAATGTAACGGCGCTCCTGAGCTGCTGAGCTTGCTGGCCAAAAGGTTGGCGGTTCTATTCCAGGGAGCAAGGTGAGCTCCCGCTGTTAGCCCCAGCTTCTGCCAATCTAGCAGTTCGAAAACATGCAAATGTGACTAGATCAATAGGTATCCCTTCTGTGGGAATGTAACGACGCTCCTGAGCTGCTGAGCTTGCTGGCCAAAAGGTTGGCGGTTCGATTCCAGGGAGCAAGGTGAGCTCCCACTGTTAGCCCCAGCTTCTGCCAACCTTGCAGTTCGAAAATGTGCAAATGTGACTAGATCAACAGGTACCCCTTCTGTAGGAATGTAACGGCGCTCCTGAGCTGCCGAGCTTGCTAGCCAAAAGGTTGGCGATTTGATTCCAGGGAGCAGGATGAGCTCCTGCTGTTAGCCCCTGCTTCTGCCAACCTAGCAGTTCGAAAACATGCAAATGTGACTAGATCAATAGGTACCCCTTCTGTGGGAATGTAACGGCGCTCCTGAGCTGCTGAGCTTGTTGGCCAAAAGATTGGCGGTTCGATTCCAGGGAGCAGGATGAGCTCCCACTGTTAGCCCCTGCTTCTGCCAACCTAGCAGTTAGAAAACATGCAAATGTGAGTAGATCAGTAGGTACCACTCCAGCGGGAAGGTAATGGTGCTCCATGCAGTCATGCTGGCCACATGACCTTGGAGGTGTCTGGACAACGCCAGCTCTTCAGCTTAGAAATGGAGATGAGCATCACCCCACAGAGTCGGACTTGACTAGACTTAATGTCAGGGGACAACCTATACCTTTATATTCTCATATATGGCAGTCCTATCTCACAGGGTGAG